TGGTGACGGACAATCCACCAAATCAGTCTACCTACAGGAAGATCACGGATCTATTTGCGCATAAGAAAAACATTCAATCGAATCTACCAGATCTCGGGATAGGCCCGGGTGGAAGAAATCTTCTCGCCAAAGAGTGTCAATCCAAAAACCCGTTGACGAAGGTGAACTCGGATGTGCGAAGGCAATTATTAGCGAGTCTGGCACCGTTATCCTGTGTCACAGTCAACAGTTCTGACAACCAGGACGACTATTACCGAAACGACTCCAGGATGTTGGCATCCTCGAACCGTGAATCGATAAGCTATAACTCAGACTCGTCGTACAGTTTAGAAGACATAGAAGCAGCTCTGAATGGCGACGACAGGAAGTATGCCGGTCAACCGGATGTGACGAGATGCACGCCGATAGGCAGTAGACCCGACATCGGCGATAATACGGCTGACGAGTTGCTCGCGTTCGTCGAGCAGGACAAGTCGAGGATGGAACGAATAAAACGCCGTTACAACGAGCCAGAGGATCGTTACACGTTCATTAATGGCTACCATTCCGAGGACAAGGCCATAAATACATCTGAGAATTATGACGGTAAGGGCATTAAGAATCATGATAGCAAGGACGCGCAGGCAGACAATGAAGAGGAAGAGGAAGATGACGAACTCAACGATTATGGGTTCAATCGACGACCGTCGGTAACGGGTATCAAAACGCAATACGAGGCTACCAACGAGGCTATTCATCGAGCACGAGCGGCTTGTGCCGGTGCAGCTAACAATGATGCGAGATCTGGCTCGATATGGCCGATATATTGCGATGTAAACGGCGACAAGATCGACGCAAAGTCTATGTTGACCGCTGACGGAGTGGACGAGGCGATTCCCATACCTACAGACGCGTACGCCACGATGGGGAGCTTCGAGCGGGATACAAACACGATCAATCGCATAAACACAATGCAGAAGCAAATCGATGACATATATCAAACTATTGCCGAGAGCACGGCGGTAACAGCGAATATCCAGGGTATTTCCGAGCACACGACTTATCTGGAGAACGCGATACCGCGGCAGTTCGTCAGAACTCCGTCCAGTGACGGTGCCGCGCACCTGTACGCCGAGCACAGAAATGGTCATCACTATTTTCAAGAACAACAGCAGTTGTCGAGCACACGCATGCTGCGTCTCGCGGGTGGGGGTGGCGGGGGGG